GCCCTAAATTTAAACACAACGGGCCAGTCAAAGCCGGTGGATAAGTGGAAAAAGGTAAAACAATAATTATAATTATGCGCGCTCTTCTCAAAGCCAGCAGCTTTATTAATCTGTCACCATCTAGGCAATGTGGTTTTAAATATTAATAGGACAGGGATAAATTGCTTAGCACTTTCTACTGTATTTTATAAGCTAGCTAGCCACCCGCCCCAGCTTCGCACTGTTATTAATGCATGTAAACCTTCCTCTTGAGTCACTTTATCTATTAAAACAATTGCATCAAAATCCATTGCATGTTTTAAAGATCTAAGCATAGATAGGTATAGACAGAAAGACCTACTTTGTTTTATACTATGTGGTGATAAGCTTGTTTGTTTGCTTTGCATGTGCATAGGTGTGGAGTGACTTAAAAACTAACACCAAAAAAAGGCCGCAAAAATCAATCGCTCTGTAAGCGGCACAGGTGGTGGCCCTGCCTGTAAACTCACTTAATGTGAGTTGGAGCAGCGGGTACTCAACCTAATAGGTTCAGAGGCTGCTACAGGCATGGTAGCTGTAAATGAGACAGCTCCCGTTCCTCAGGTAATATTGCTTTGGTAATTTTTGTATAACTCATAAAAATCTTATATGTAAATTGTGGAATCCTTGCATTAGCTTATTTGCTTTGCTTGTTCAAGTATCATATACCTATATTAAATTATATTGTATTTACATGTTACTTTCAGAATGATTCAGCACTTGCCTCTGAACCATTAGAGTTAGAGGTGCCACCACCCTTTTTGCGGCCACGGTCACCCACACCGACCCGCTCAACTATCCAGGTAGACAACAGTAAGTAATATTTGTTTAGTGAATATACTATTTTTACTTATGATCACAACCATAAGGAGGTATTTTAACCATGGTTTTTACCTAACAGCAGACACTAGTAATAGTGATATTTTAATCATAGAATTATGGATGTTGATGATGTTATACTATATGAACAAAATTTTGACAGAGGATTTTTACATAGGGCTTTTGTTACAAAATAATCTAACACTAATGTGACATATGAATCCATTTTTATTTTTAAAACTTTTCCTTCTCTCGTTTTAGAAGAAGTTTATATAAGTATGGGAACTTTTTATATTGAGTCCAAGATGCAATGAAAGTATTATGAGGTACTCTATAACTACATTATACCTATATGTTTTCAGTGCTGGATGAATTAATGAGGCCAGGTGGAAGCGGCCAGTCCACCCCATTTCCCACGGAAATAGTGGAGGTGACGACTGCGTCGCCCACCACCAGCCACGTCCAACAGACGGGATCTCCGGCACGGCCAAGAGCCCGGCGTATTATACCCGGGCACCGCGCTACACCGGATCGCCGCCGGCGCCCTCGAGTTCGCCCACACTCGGCACATGCAGATGCTGCCCAAAATTTCATCCATTCGGATAATCTCTGGAGAGATTTGGCGACAAAGTTTGTCACTGAGAGTCTGCGGCAGCGTGAAGCTGAATTACAAATGCAAGCTCAGTGGCAAACTTTGTTCGCTAAATATCTAGAGCTACTAGATAAAAAAATAAATAAATAATTTTAATGTAGTAGAGTATTTTTATTGAACATTACATTATGTAATACCGGGATCTGTTAATAGCTGGCATCATAATTAGCTAGGATGTAAGCGTATGTTTATTTTAGTTCATCATCATCATCAACAGCTCATAAATGCCCACTGCTGAGCAAAGCCTCTTCTCACATGGAGAAGGTTAGAGCAATAATCACCACGCTTGCTCAATGCGGGTTGGCGATTTCAAACTTATAACTAGAAATTATAAGCCCAGGTTTCCTCACGATGTTTTCCTTCACCGTTGGTCAGTGGTGTCTAAATATTCTTAGAAAGTACATTTAACTCAGAAAAAGTCACATTGGTACTTGCCGTTGGTAAGTTTCGAACCTGCACCCTCGTGCATGAGAAGCAGGTGTCTTCAACCTCCGGGCCACCACGACACTTCCATGTTTATTTTAGTTGTGATCGTCCTATTGAAGGGCATAAGACACCCTCCCTAACGTACGTGCACTGAGTAATGATTAAAACTATGTTTAAAAAATGTTAGCCTGTAAATAAATATACTAAAACCTTCTAAGTGTAACAAACAGTTTTGAAAACCGCATCAAAAGCTGTATGATTTTGAAATTTTTAATACGTACGCATTAAATACTATTCGTATAGTCACCCTAAGCAATAAATAAATACTTGTACAATAATGAAACACGTTTTCATAATTAAATTGTTATATTAATAATAAATAAAAAGTGTATTTAATTGATCAAACGCACTCTACTGGCCACGCGATCACGTAGTAATCGGCCCAAAGTTAAAAGGGAACTGTCTTCATGCGGAGCAGACTCCTCTCTGATGAAATCTTCGTGACCTATGAAAACAAAACACAAACTATGAAAGAAGCACATATTGTTTCACTTGTGTTGAGGTGGACCGCTAGTCCCTAACGTAGGTTAACATTAGCTTATGGGAACTTGAGATGACATAGATACCTTACTTAAAAGTAAACTTAAAAGGGTGTTTGAGAAATATAAATTTAGTACTAATAAATTGTGTGGTGTAATGTTATTATATGTTGTTTGTAGATTACCTACCTGGGGGCTTACTCTTGAATCCAATTCCGATCGATCGACATTGGTATTGTGAAATTTCGTACTCTTGAGTTGCAATACTAGAGGCCATTGCATCCGTATTGCGTAGATATTGAATGAACTAAATGGTATTGAGTTTGTCTTTATATTCCGTACTCTGAATGCTATTGTAACAGCTAAGATTGTGGTTGTATAGTGTTGACATTTAATAATTATTGAGATCATATTGGATTGAAATTGCATTGACATTGAGATTGGTTTCAAGAGTAAGCGCCCTGTTGTTTCTGGTTCGGTTTCATAGTCCGGTACATTAAAATTTACACAAATGTTGTGCAGCACACAACAAGCAATAATAATGTGTGCACACTTTTCAGGTTTGTAGTGCAAAACCCTGTCTTTGCACACACACCTCCACCTGTTTTTCAGGCGCCCAAAAGTATTTTCAATGATGACCCGGGCCCTGCTGTGTACCATATTGTATGTCTCTGCAGAAGTGCCCGGGCCTGGTTGAGAGTATGGTGTCATCAGCCATGGCCTTTGTGGGTATCCAGAGTCCCCTGCAAATTTAAAATAAGTTTTTATTAAAAATACATACCTTAAATTACTTACATATTTTCTTTATATAGTATTGTATAGTTGTTGCATTTACCTAGAAGCCAGACAGACTCTCCACTCTGGTGCAATGTCTGCATGTGTTGGTTTACAAGGCTGTTTTCCCACACAAAGGCATCATGGCTAGCACCGCCATACTTAGGGTTAATGTTCATAATTAGCCCCCTGTGATCACACACCTAGAAACAACGACGTAACATTACTTAAGCTATGAAATAAATAAATATAAAACTATGAAGCTTTTGATTGTTTAGATTGTATTAGTGCATTATTAACACTATGTTTATAAAATATATTATTATTACCATTTGAACATTTATCGAATGATAGTGCTTGCGGCAGTAAAATAAATGTTCTACATCCTTTTTGGGCTTGACAATCCTAAAGTGTGAGCCATCTACACATCCCAACACTCCAGGAAACCCGTACATATTATAGAAACTAAAAAGACAAATTATAATTAACAAGTCATCTACTAGCAAGTGCATGAATATGATTTTAGGTTCAACAGTAAAATACCTTTGTTTCACTTGTTCTCTAGCTTCCCGTGTCGTAGGGAACTTAATGAAGTTTTTTAAAACCTCTGGGTGGTTTAGTGCTTCAGTCACTTGGTGGACAAAGCGGCTGATGGCTTCTTGAGAGTAACAATTGGCCATGCCAACCACCCTTTGGTAGTCGCCATTGGCATAAAATAATAATGCGCAGAGTACCTAAAAGAAATCAGAAATTGTACTTATTTATATAACCTACTTGTGTATTTATTAATGTAGATGATAATAAGTCACTCACCTTAGTTTCTAGTGAGACTCTCTGAGAGCTTCTTAAATTAGTAAGATTTCTAAGTGTCTCACATAGAAACTTGTAGGCTTCTTTTGTCAGCCGATATCTTTGGACAAAATGGGTGTCCGATATTAAGCTTGCGCTCAATAACTTTCGCCGCAAAAGAAGGTTTTTACGCTCTTCTTCACGGCGATCCATTTCAGCGGCTTCTGCCGTCATTCTCCAAGCAAAATATCTTCTCGCAGCCATTAAATTATTTAAATAAATGTCACAAGTAAATATTTTGGCACCCAAGTCGCGAGGTTTTTTGTCTATCTCACCGATTAATATTTAGTGAGTTCTAAAACGTTTACGTTGGACGAGATCGAGACGCTTTTCTCTCGCAGACTTGTCAATATTGTAACTCGTACTGCCAATTTGTCGAGAACTGTCAAAATTTCTCGTTAGCGCTCACCGTTTACGGATACTTTTTACGTTAAAGCAACTCATACTACCAAATTTAGTTCCTCTACGTTTCCGATAGGGGCGCTGCTAATTTATGAATGAAAATTAACGTTTCGTTAGAACGTAACGTTTGCTGTCAAAACTCATACTAAGGGTACTGAAGGCGGGGCATAACAAGATGGCGTCTCGCGCAGTGTTGTCAGAACTAATAAATACGCACAGGTTTAGTTATTTGAATTATCCGACCTTTCCCTGTATCCGAACTTACCCTGATGTACCTTAATTATACAATCTTCGCAATTGCAAGGTAGAGGTAGTTTTTCGTGAGCTATTTTATGATTTTTACACTTAGTGCAAATGTCTTGTGATATTTCAGGAGTTGAGAGATTTAATTTCTTGATCATATTTTCATATCCAGGCAAGATAGTGGTCAAACGTCGCCCCATCAAATATTAAAAAGATATATTATGAAAATGAATCCAACCACAAATAGGTAAATTATTTTCTTGACAAAACTGCTTAAAATGCTTAAATATTGTGGAGAAATTAATGCCTACTGGCAAATATTTTCTGTTAGGTGGAAACTTGTTAGCTGGTTCAAAACTTTACATACTTTGATGTCATTGAGTGACCATACTAATACTAAGGTGTTGTGCCTTCGAGATTCGCCTTTTGTTTTTGTGCATGTAATTGGTAACTTATTAACACTCCTTGACAAAAAGTCACGGCGCCGTTGCCTGTGCAAGTTCCAAAATTGTGTATGTATAGACTGTCTTTCATTCTCAGGAATCTTTTGTAAACACTGTTTTTTACATGAACAAGGTGGCAATAGTGGATGTTTCAGCCTTTGTTTCTCTTATACAGCTCCTGGATCTCTATTTCGCTTAGGTTTTTTTATTATTTGAGATTGAGAGAGAGATATTGTTTGAGAAATATTATCTTTAATGGTAGATTCATGGGTGCCCGTGGGGGTGATAGGTCTTTTTTTGCCAAGTGAAATAAGACTTGCGGTAGAAGTTGAAGGTGGTGGAGCTGAATATGGGTTGTCAGTATCGGTTAAACTCTTATCAGAAATTAATGCCGGTATGAATTGAGTATAAACTCCCAATTCTTCAGAAAGGCATTCATCAAGCTGAGTCTCACTGAGTGGAACAATAGGACTGATAAAGTTTCAGTTTCTTGACTCTAAATCATCTTGAAAGTAATTACTTTCGTTCAAATTGTGGTTGTTGCAGTCTATATTTTCTTTTTCTTGACAATCACTTATCACACTGTACGCAACAGTAACAGAGTCTGTGTTATTATAATGTTACAAATTTGGTTTCGATAGTCTGATTTCACTCCGATTTGTACTCATTCACAATTATCACTAAATAACTCGAAACAAAAACTAATAACGCATTATCACATCAAAACAAATCACTAAGCACGCGGATCACGACTAATGTAAACAAAACTACTCGAACGTGAGGAACAAGGAAGAGGAATAATAACGGCACAGGAAAGTACGAGATAGCAATACTGTTGTCGGTTCTACTTTCGCTGGTTAGACAGTAAACGCGCGAACTGCATGCGGGCAGTGCAAAACAATGTGTTTACCTATGCATGAGCAAATGCGTATAGACTATTTCGCCAAAACACTGTATACTTTGTTACAGTATTTTTCTGTGATTATCTTATTTTTTACGTAGTACAGTGTTTTTTTTGTTTGCTTTATCTTGCAAAATAACCGTTGAAATGAAATCGTGGTCGATCATAGGTACAAAACTGACTTCAACAAACTGATTGGGCTTTGTTAAGCGAAAACACTGTAAGTCGACTTACAGTCTATTGGATTGGCTCGGCAGTACTGCAAGTGAAGGGCTAGAGGAAATTAGCTATATGTGGGAAATAATCTACATGTTGGAGAGTGCTGGTGTAGAATGATATTTCTCATGGCATGGAACAGAACAAGAATATTTTGTCCTATGCTTTTTGCCGGGTGCTGCAGAATCGATATTTATTAATGCATGGCATAACTATGTAGTCCAACATTTGATAAACAGGTCTCTTCTGGCACCAGGGTTGCCAGATGCCGAATTTTTTATCTCGTTCTAGGACTGTCAAATATTTATTTATTCATCACCACACTTACATCATTAATCACACACTACAGGTTTAACCTAATGTGATAGGGAAACACCTTTTGCCATATCAACTATTATTTTTGGTTCCGTATAGTTTTCCCACGCTGTTGAATATTAACAAAGCGATCAGTAACAAGTGAAACAAGTGAATTTATTTTCGACATTTCCTAACTGACTACTCTGAGAAGAAATGCCGAAACAAACTCAGAGGTCTGTCTCTTTTAAAGTCCAGACAATATGTATAAATAGATTATGTGTGAGAACCGTGCAAGTTCTTTCTGTAGTGGCCTTTTGAGGAAAGAACCACAACAGTTTGAGCGGACCCGTTCTGAAGGCAGTACGCATGTGTCGGTTTACAGTCGGCTCAATTAACAGGTGGGGCTGACTGATTCGACGAACAATACCAACCTAAAGAACATTTGCGTGGGTCGCACAAATACTCAAACTGTCAGAATATGGGTACTCGCACGGTCCTAGCACTAACAATTGTAAAGGAAAAAGCAAATGTCAAGTTAGAACAACATGAAAAACAATGTCAAGAAATGTAACTATATGTTACAAACATGTCAACATGACCTGTGTGGACGTTACAGCAGCTTATTCCCAAGCCAGACTATCATCTAGGTAGTCTTTAATTTTATGAAAAGCTTTACTATAAAATTTATCTTTAATGACATGTTTAAATTTATTTAGACCCAATTTTGGATATGGCTGGGAATTTTATTGTAAAAGCGTATACTCTGACATCTAAACGAACCACTTATTTTCTTTAGTCTAGTAGTGGGAACAACATATTTGTCTTTATTTCTCGTGTTGATATTATGTATATCACTATGCTTTTTAAATAAATTTTTGTTTTTATGAGCATATACTACATTTTCATAAATGTATTGAGAGGCAACAGTCATTATATTAATTTCTTTAAATAGTTCCCTGAGAGAGTACCTCGGACTAAGATTATAAATTGATCGAATGGCCCTCTTCTGCAGAACAAAGATAGATTGAATGTCAGCAGCATTCCCCCATAGGAGAATACCATATGACATGACACTATGAAAATAACTATACTAATCGCGCTGTATCTACATCGGTTAACTTTCTAATTTTTTTAACGGCATATGCTGCAGAACTGAGCCTTTTCGATGTTTAGTGGACAGAACATACACATCCCTCTTGTCCTTCCACTTTAAACAAGTTATTCCGTCGTTGCTCTCTGCAGCTTTATACTCTCTACGCTTAAGTTTGGCATCAATGACCTCTTTTGGTAATTCTTTACGATTTTCGACGTGCAGACGAGATGCATTTCTCTAGGCAACAACAACTTGTTCCGTGTAGTCCTTCCTCGTCTTTCTGACTACTGGTTTCTGATTCAATCCTTGAGATTTTTGTTTATTTTTTCCTAATTCCATTAAAAACTGGCCGCTTAATTAATTGTCTTTGCCGCTAATTTACTTTCTTGGGTTTTTCTTCGTTCTTCAGCTGTCCGCTATTTTTCAGGTGTATCCGTTGCCACCATACTTTTGTCTAGTTTCTTTCCTTTTCGCTTTACTTTGCGTGGGTCAGCCTTCAATGGGGCTATCAATTCTTTAGGAGATTTGAAGTTATTCTGAATACCAGAAGTCAAACATCAGCAACATAATAAAATATTACAATAAACAAAATAATAACAAATTTTGCCCTCAAGAGCTTAATACTAAAAAACAATACATTCTAAAGTTAACTTATTAACGTAATAATTCTAACTTATTATTAAAGTAACGATGACAAGTATTTTCAGTCTTTTATTATTTTGAAATTAGGCTCTTTCTTCTTTGTTAATTATTTGACCTTTTTGTAAGGCTAGTTTTTAGTGAAGTAACTTACCATAAATGATTATTTAAGTGACCTGATAAAAAAAAATTGTTTAACCTTTAAAATTCTATGTTCCATATTAGACAGTAAACAGTAAAATATTAGAGATCATTTGTGTCGATTTCGTCTTTTTCGTCAGTTTCAGGAAGACTGTCTCTAACAGTTCCCAAGGATGGTAGATCTAAATATTCCTTATAAAATCGCTTTGGTATTGTTCCGTTAGTACATAAACGCTTTAAATCGCTATACTTGGTGACTGGTATAGGGTTAGCTTTCTCATAAAACGTTGGCAAACCAACATCAGAAGTATAATCTTCTACTTTGTCGGCACCTGTTAGATCTTGGTTTTGTTTTCTTGTTTTTTTGATCATCTTCCTTTATATTCATCCTCTAATGCTACTACTTGAGCTTCTTCGTTTTTTTTCATCGAATATTTTATTTCCACACTTTTTGCGTTTTTTTTCTTGAATGTGACAATGCGCATTGCTTTTACCTGTATTTGTCTTTGAGAAATATTGGTAAATTTTTCAGATACCTACCAAATTGTCCCAGTTGAGGAAATCGGAATTCTCCAAAACAGTAATTTTGTATGGTTCAGGACGTTTTCTTGCAGATTCCACATACGTCGGCCATTGACTCGGACTCCAAACAATAACTCCTTTAAATCTACGAGCCGTTCTAACATGTCCAACGTTGAATACCATCGTGTAGTCACGTCCAGAAGCGGCTTATTTTGATGCTTTAAGTATATTTGGCATCGTTGGAGTTCGAAGTTTGCGTACAATATTGCGAGCTTCATCTATAATATGTATTGATCCGTCTTTCTGTAACGCATCGTTGACTGCAAGCTGCAATGTATGTGCAGCGCACCGTATCGAGATGACACTGTAAGGGGTTTCCGGCTCTGTATTGTTGACGAAAGACTCATTATTATCAAGTATTATTTCTAGTAGCTCCGTATTCATATCATCATCGTCGGAATCATTATCTCCGTCATTTAACAATTGGGTTATTTTAATCATGTTTGCACTGTTATCGGTAGTTGTAGAATAGATTTGCTGCCTTAAAAGTAATTTATATAATGAGAAAATATAGCAATATTTTCTCATTATATAAAATAGTTTTTCTTTTAAGTACCTACTCAGCAGTGCTCCTGGCATACAATTCTGTAACCCCCAGATTTTTTATTTGAATTTTGCCACTTAGTATGTATTGGGCATTAACTGGAATAAAATTTGGGCTTCTGTTAGGCTTATAGGTATAATATTTTTAAAGGCTAAATCATCAATTATTGAGAACGGTCCCAAAGAAACTCGGCTGCAGACGTGTGAGTGATTAGCTGCAGTATTATGCTCTGTGACCTAGGTAGGTATTGACCAAGCAGCCCTCAAACACAACAATTTTAGGCATTGTGTAGGTACACACGGCTACACATCAACCTAGACTGTTTGGACTTTGGACTATTAGACGTTGAACGCTGCGAATCGGTCGAGAGGATGCGATGTATTTTTGTAATTTCGTCTCACGCACATCGAGAATGCGGGAGACGGTGGTACGCGCCGCCGCCGCCGCTCTGATGTTACATAGCGGCGGTGGCTTTAATCCTTACAAAACTATATTATTTTTTGCTAACTAGTTGAAACTGTTTTAGTTAGGCGAGTTGTTTTTTTTTCGGTTTGCGCTGCGCTTCTGAGTGTTTACTAATTCATTATTAGGCATTTATTATTATCATTTATTTATATCTATACTAGCTTTTACCCGCGGCTTCGCTCGCGTCACAAAAGGATAAAAAGTAGGCTCTGTGACTATCCACCCCTTTAACTACCTTCAGTTAAAAAATCACGGTAATTAGTACCTCCGTTTTGCCGTTTAAGGCAGGCACAAATAGCTTTCCGCTCGCGTAGAATTCGATTATATCGCGCTTTTTA